AAGTCATTTTTTTTTCACCCCATACCTCGCTGAGGTATTTGTCAAGATCGGAAGCAAAATAATAATAATAATAATAATAATCTAGCTGAAAAACATCTCTGATCACTGTGAGCCAGCTCCTCCCATCTCTCAGGCAGGGCTGTGAGGATGTTCTGCATGGGTGCTTCATGGCCACAACGTGGCTGCGTGGAGCTGAGCACCAGCCTTGTTTCCTGCCTCATCCTTGCCTCCCTGGGACAGAGGAGACACCTCACCTCCTTGTCCCTTTCTCATGTCTCTACTCCCTGTTTCTGTCACTTTTTTTAAATTAAATTGTAGTAAAATATATGTAAAATTTACCACCTTAACCATTGTTAAGTTACAGTTCAGTGGCATGAAGTATGTTCACAGAGCTGTGCAGCCATGACAGCCGAGCGTTTCCAGAAGTCTATAGACCTCTTGGCGCAAGCGCCACTCCACGCCCATTAAACACGAGCTCCCCATTCCTTCCCACCTGGTAGCCCCCATTCCACTTTCAGTCTCTCTGAATCTAGTCCAGCTGCCTCACCCAACCGGAATCATTCAGGATATCTACTTTCGTGACTTGCTTATTTCACTCAGTGTAATGTCCCCCAGGGTCATCCATGCTGCAACCTGGGACAAGAGGTCCTTCCTTTTTAGGCTGAATCCTATCGCCATGGTACATACTTACCATACCTTGTTTACTTGTGTATCCACCAATGGACACTTGGCTTGCTTTTGCCTTTTGGCTACCGTGAATAATGCTGCCATGAGCAGGGGCACCCAGATATTTCCCCATCACTGTTTTTATTGTAAGTTTTTATCTGAATTCCAGTTAGGGGGCACCTGGGTGGCTCAGTCTGCCTTCAGCTCAGGTCATGATCCCGGGCTCCTGGGATGGAGCCCCTGCATGGGGCTCCCTGCTCAGCAGGGCGTCTGCTTCTCCCTCTCCCTCTGCCCCCCCCACCTCATGTTCTCTCTCTCTCATACACACAAATAAATAAATAAAATCTTTTTTTTTGAAAAAGATTTTAAAAAATTCCAGTTACTTAACATACAGTGTGATATTAGTTTCAATCGCACAGAATAGTGATTTAACACTCCTGTCACTATTTTTAAACTCATCAAGTATTAGAATAACAAAGGGCCCCTGCGTAAAACAATATTCAACCCCAGAGTTTATTTCCAGCTACCTTTGCTTGTACTTGAAGGGTCTTCTTAGACATCACCTACTCAAGACCTCCCCACGCAGCCGAGATGGACTGAGAAGTCTCCCTAGGCCTCCTGGCCAGTGAGCCCAGTTGTGCCATATTTGCCTCTTCCGGAACCCTGTGCAGAGCTGGGAAGGTGCCATGAGCTGCCCCATGTGGGACTTGTGGGTATGGAGTGCATTTGTGCCCCCTTCTCACCCCATCATATTGTCCATGACAACCACAGTGGTTTGGGGAGGCTGCCCTGACCTCAGACAGGGCTTGTTTTGAATCCCAGTGGGTCCTCAGTATGTCTAACAGTTACTAGCCCTCCAAGGAGGGGAGCAGGAGGATCCCTCTTACACAGCTCCAGGAGACAGAGAAACCCCCGTTACGTATCCGTGAGTATAGACTGTAGATCTGTCTCATGCAACCTGCATGTACTCTGAGCTCTGTCCTCCATTCTCCTGCCAAACTCTGGGCAACAGCAAGGGAGGGACATTGCAGAGGGTCAAAGGATACTTCTGGAAAGGGGAGGAGGGATGCATGGGCTGTTTTCTATTCTGTCATTCTTCTGCAAAGCCCCTGAAAGGCCCAGGAGACACCAGAGGGAAAGAAAAGCAGGACAAAGAAGGTTGGTAAACCCTCCCAGCTCTATAGGAATCAGATCCCTGCGGGTCTTTTTCAGTCAGCAGATTGAGCCTCTCTGCCTTTGGTCAGGTCATGATGCCAGCCAGCATCCTGGGATGAGTCCCACATCGGGCTCCCTGCTCAGCAGGGAGCCTGCTTCTCCCTCCGCCTGCTTCTCCTTCTGCCTGCTGCTCCCCCTGCTTGTGTGTGTGCTCTCCCTCTCTCTTGCCAATAAATAAATAAAATCTTTTTTAAAAAAAGAAAAAACAAGAGGAGGATATGAAGCTTTTTCCATGGTTGAGGTCAATGCAGTAGCACTGAACAGGTCTCTAGCTAGAACCTCACATTTGCATTCACAAAGTCAATGGCAAAAGGTCAGGACAAAGGAGATCTGGCTGAGAGTCAGTTTGGGAGAGGAAAAAAAGAAGTCGTAGGAGCTAACAGAGGTGCAGTCTGCTTGCTTAAAACAGATATAGTGTGGAGCTGAGCTACTTTAATGAACACAGAGCCTCCCTTTAAAGAGGGGGAAAAAATCATCACATTCTCCCCTGATGCTTTCAGACCACATCTGGGCCATTTTGCCCACAACAAAGCGATCCATTTTGAGAATAGTAGTGACTGATAAGAGAATTGGAAGGGAAAGGATTCAGAATCTGCCACATGCAAATTATCCTGATCAAGTTAAGAGAAAACTTAAAAGGGGAACAAAAGAGCTATCTTCAAATATTTAAGAAGGCAATCCTGTTACTCCTAAAACCAGAGGAGGAGAAATGGGTAGGAGTTGGTTTCATTCTGAGTGTTGTTCAGGCTAAAATTGGGGCAAGATTTGCTCATTGCTCTCTAGGACTTCATTATCTCCTACTGAGGAGATAAAGAAGAACAATTACCAAGAGTTATAAAGGCTTAAGTGTGCCAGGTGTTGGTGTAAGCAGCTTACAGGCAACATGTCCCTTGTCCTCACACTCCAGGGTAGGCACGGTCACTTCCATCCCGCAGCATAGGCAAGGGATCGGGTAAGAAGAGCTTCCCTGCAGGGGCTTGGAAGACAGTGAGGAGCTCTACCAAGGGGACTGGAAGTCAGAAGAGCTTGAGCTTGAGCTCAAGGCCTAAGCTTGCACTAACAGACAAGGAGGAACAATATAGAGGTGGAGGGGAGGGGGTCTGGGTAGCTCCCAAAATTTTCTCAAAATTTAGCCCAACCACTGCCACAACCCCCAGCTAATACAAATGACCCTCATCTCCTGCCTGGACTAGTGCAGTAATCTCCTCATTGCTGCTCTATAGACTGGTATCTGCCCAGAGCTAGAATGACCCTCTCCGAGCTTGGAGGGCACATCACTCCTCTCTCCAAACCCTCTGTGACTGCATCTTATGCAAACAAGAGCCTCAGTGGCCATCCAGGGCCTGTAGTATCTCACCCTGTCCTCTCTCATGTTCCTCTGTCTGCCCCTCTCTCTTTTCAGCCCTCCCCCAGCCACACCAGACTTCTTGCTGGTCCTCAGCCCTGCCAGCACACTCTTCCCCAGGGCCTTTGCACCCACTGTGCCCTCTGCCTAGCAGTCCTTTCCCAAGGAACTACATGACGACTTTTTTGCTTACTTCTAGGCTCTGCTCACATGTCAGCTTATCCATGGGACCATCCCTGCCACCTTAAGTGCTCACCCCTCACCTCCTCCCCGGTCTGCCCTCCACAGCTTTACTTTTCTCTAAAGCATTTACCACCCTGTGGCATCTTCTCTATTCATGTATGATGTATAGTATACACTGTATATGGTCTATTGTGTTATCATTCTTTATATATCATTCTGTGTATCTTTATCATTCTATATATATCAACTATATATTGGGTATATAGACTGATAGGCATAGTTAACATATATATATCTACTATACACTATATATAGTCTACTTTGTATCCTTCCTTGGCTTACTGTCTGTCCCCATCAGGAGGCCAAGATTCAGAGGACAGGGTTTTGTTTTGTTCCCTGCCTCATCATCAGAACCTAGAACAGTGCCTGGCACATGGGAAGCCCTCTGTGCATGTGCCCTGCTGAGATAGATGAATGAGCAAGTAGGCTGGACCTGGAGATGAAGAGAGGCCTGGCACCACCCAGTGTCCCCTCAAGAACCCTGCCAGTGGGAAGACACTACCGACGTTTCTAACAGTAGAACATGATCAGATTTGGTTTCAGGAGCTTAGGGCTATTCCAACTAATGAGGAAGACTTGAATGGTTATCAGACCTGGCCATCAGTGGATTCAGCCATGTTGTCAAGTGGTGAGCTCCTAGGAGCTGGGATGATCTGAGGCCCATGCAGGGACCGACGGAGGAGAGGGTCCTTTTGTGTCCCTAAAAAGACATTCAAAGCCCCATTTGTGTCCTGAGAAATTGTGATTTCCAACAGCTCAGCTTCTTGCCACACCAGGCTGAGACCCTGGTCATTGAAATGGAAGGCAGTTAGGCCAGATTTTAGTGGAGCACTGTCACCAGCTCAGTCTTGTCCCAGCCCACAACTTGCCTCCTCAAGAGTGACTGTCCCCACTCAAGAAGGCCCTCCACTCTTTGGAGGACCAGGAAGTCCCTGGTCCTGGTGTGTTCAAGCTGGCCCTGGGTGTCCTTTGTCAGGGACCATGCTGGTCAGGTTTTGTTGCAGTCACAAACCACCTGAGCCTCTCAATGGCTGACAGCCATGTCCTGTTATGACAGAGGTCAGATGTTGGAGATTCCCAGGGTGGGACCTGCTATTCTCATGGCAGAGGGCAGGAAACGGAGAGAAGCAGAGCCAAACCACACAATCACACTCAAAGCTTCTGCTGGGAAATGGCCAGCTTCATGTCCACTCACACCCCATTGAACAAAGCATGATGTAGACAGTGGGTGGGATATGTGATCCCGCCCCAGGGAGAGCAACCACTCGGGACCAATAATTATATCTGCCATAGAACTGTTGTGGGCAGAAGGATTTCTGTTTTGAATAAGCCATTGACCCGTTTAACTCATGTGACTCCCTCTGCTCTACTACTTTAGAATTATTTTGCATGTCAATTGCAAAGCTCTCTATATCCATTTCCCTCCCTCATGCTATAGGCCCAAGACTCCATGATGTGTCTGGAAGGCTCCCTGGGGCAGCTGGCCTCCCCACCCTGTTATTCTCTCACTGTCTTTCCTTCTCCTGGACAGGTGGGTGGCAGGCCCATGGAGCCCCTGCTCAGCTACCTGTGAGAAGGGCATCCAGCATCGTGAGGTGACCTGCGTATACCAGCTGCAAGACGGCACCCACATCACCACACGGCCCCTCTACTGCCCAGGCCCCCGGCCGGCACCAGTGCAGAGCTGCGAAGGCCAGGACTGCCTGTCCATCTGGGAGGCATCTGAGTGGTCACAGGTGGGTGCCCGGGCTGCCTTGTCCACAGGGACCCCAACATGGTGCCTTTCCCTCTATGCTATTTGTGACTCAAACCAAAGTATCACAGTGCTTGCCAGCCCCTAGATAACTAAAAAAGATGTATTCTAGCTCACGTGTTCCTAAATTCCATCTGAGAAGACAATATGGCTAAACAAACATGTGTAATGTGTTTTTGATCATCTATATGTTTTTGATAATATTTACCAGAGTTCGATCCCAGTTCCTTAGAAAATTCTCAATTAAAGATGGATGGATGATGGGTGGATGGTTGGATGGTTGGGTGGGTGGATGGATGGATGGATGGATGGTTGGGTGGGTAGATGGGTGGATGGATGTTTGGGTGGGTGTGTGAATGGGTGGGTGGGTGGATAGATGGATGGTTGGATGGGTGGGTGGGTGGATGGATGGATGGTTGGGGAGGTAGTTATGTAGGTAAACATACCAACTGACTAACCAGCTGACCTTCTAATTTTCTTTTGGTGTATTTGAATTCTAGTGCCATCAGATTGGGAAGGCAGTTTCAAAGGTTTTTTCTGAACTCTGTGTCAGTCTTTGCGGATTATAAGAGGCAAAGCAGACACTTGGAGGGACAGTTTTTAGTATACAAGTTGGAGTCACACATCTCATGCCATAAAACATTTTGGAAAGAGGTCAGTTAAGCCTTAAGTTTTAACTTGAAAGACTGATTCTGGAAATATTTTATCTTTGTTAATATCATCCTTCAAAGCTTTGTGTTGACTTTGCATTAATGATTTTGACTGTTTGGCCATAAAACAAAAAATAGCTTGAATAAAGGGCAAGTTTCCCTCAGGTCCTCCATCAAATGTGTTCTAGGAAAGTCAGAAAGGCTAAATCCAAGACACTCTTCAGTGTGGAAAATATTTTTAAAGTTCCTTTTTATTGCCAAACAGTTGGAATTATTTTGAATAAGAAAGTATTCAGCCCATTCTTAATGAACGAAAAGTCTACCCTTGGCTGCTCAGAAATGGGGTTTACATTTCAGACAGATTTGGACGTATACACGTTTGAAGACCTGAGACTTTATCCTGCACTTTATGATATTTTAGGGAAAAGAGTTTAAAATTTTTATTTTTTGTATGTACTTAGGATTGTAAGTTGAACAGTCAGGGGACCTCTTTTAGGGAGGGGGACTACTTGCTGGAGGGGTCGGGGCAGGCATGCAGTTTCCCCCTCCACCCTGCCCTCCGACCTTGAGCCTGAGGTCCTTGATCACTAGCTCTTGATCCAAACAAAATTTATGCTTTAATCAGATCAAAGCCATAAATTTTCCACTCAGACTCTTTTTAATAGAAAAAAAAGTCCTTACCAAAGTAACCAAGGCTGACATTATCAACTATCATCATAGCATTAAGAACACCAGATTGGAAAATGTGAGACAACTAAAGCAAGATTTTAAAAAATATCTCTAGTTTCACGTCTATATCTCTGAGTGTACCCGATCCTAATGCTGAAATAGTATCCACACCAATCAGTCTCCTGGCTCAGTTCAGGCTCGAGCCAAATGCCTCTTTCTGAACAGTCCAACTTGGAATCAAATCTTGCCCTCATTCACGAGATACTCACCAAACTGGTATTTCTATTGCTTCACCACATGCTAAAGCCCCTTTAGAGATTTTATTTATTTATTTGAGAGAGAAAGAAAGAGCATAAGCAGGGAGAGGGGTAGAGGGAAAGGGAGAAGCAGGCTCCCCGCTGAGCAGGGAGCCCGCCATGGGGCTCAATCCCAGGATGCTGGGATCATGACCTGAGTTGAAGGCAGATGCCTAACTGACTGAGCCTCCCAGGGACCCCACTGCTGAAGCCTTAAATGTTTCTTCTTTAATGTTTCTTCATCCGGAAACAAATGGGTTTAAATTTCTCATGGTAGAGAAATTTATTTGACTGCGGAGGTTGCCTTTGTAGAGCTGGCATCTGTTGATTGCCCTTCCTCTCTCTCCCCCAGCTTCTTCCCAGCTTTGTTAGAATGAGGAGCAGTTACCAGGAAGGAAGCAAAAGATAGTGACTGTCTCTCGTCCTCAGTCCCTCCAGAGAAAGGCCCACCTGCAATGCTGCCCTTTTCTCAAAGCTTCAGGCTTTGGGTTCAGCCAATGGGCTGCTTCTCAGAAGGGCTGAACCCAGTTTTGGTCAAGAACCAGACTAGACATTAGCATCTGAAATTCAAGGGCAGGGGATGGAGAGGGACAGGGAATGCAGAATAGAGTAAAATGATGCAGGAACTCTGGCAGAAGTGGTAAATAGGTTTCTAGTTGAAGAAGGAGCTTGGGTGTGGGCAGAGCTAATGAAATGGTCAGGGAGCATCACCAAGCATAGAAGCAGAGAGATTGACCTACAACTCAGTAACCCAGGTTCCCACTGCAAGAGGGTGACACCTGCTCTGGACTGACCCCTTGCATCCAAGGTTCTGAGCCGACCCCTCACGGGATCAAATACGCATGCTCTCCAGCTCCCCCCAGATGATGCCACAGCCAGTTCTGAAGTATGTGTGTTTCTTCTAAAATAAGCCAGCTAAGTCTCAAAAACAAAACAAAACAAAAAAACTTCAGAGAGCTAAATTGAACTCATTGGAAAAATAAAGCTACATAACATTTTGGGATAAATGTTAATAATAGAAATATAAAGAACAACTCTTGTCCTTTAGATGCGTTTTCCCAGGGGACACAGTGGAGCTTTTTAAAAAATCAAGTTTGCTGTGGCTCAAAAATATCACTGCTGTAGGTTTCTGGTAAATCAAGCAAGTATGAAAGCAGATGCTTGAATCATGAGGGCTCCATTTTGTGCTACCACAGTGGATGGGCTGTCCCCACCCCCCCATAGCTCTGGGACCCAGCTGTTGGGAGCCTGGGGTTCACTGTGTCTGTACCTCTTGGCAGAATGCAGTCTTCAGCCCACCATCTCCGCTAATGATGTTTTGTTTCTGTGGTAGAGACGTTCAGGGCTTCTGTACCCCACAAATAGGAGGGAGAGCTCCCTGGGTTTGCAGGCTGTGTTACCCCCTGTTGCTGGCTGGATCATGTATGCTGTCAGTCCTGTCCTCCCAAGGTCATAGGTCTGCCCCTCCTGGGCTTCCTTCTTTGTTTTAAGGTGGTAAGCTCTGTCGGAGCCCGGGGAGGTCCCTCCCTGAGTTCAGAGGGAGCATGCCAGAAGCTGGGGCCAGATACACCCCACAGGTCCGCCATGTTTTCCCATTACCCCACTTCTCCTCCCTTCTTCCAAGGCTCTTCCTGCCCGAGGGCATGGGAATCTTGAGCTCTCAGGGCTCGCACATGATTTGTCATTCCTCGGGCTCTCTTTGGGTCCCCTAACCACACTTTCTCTTGCAGTGTCTCCTGGGAAGTAGGTAAATCATCACGGGGACCATTGCTCGGTGACATTCTTGACGTCCACACCTAACACAGTCACTGTAGCTCTCTGCAAGACCTTACCAATGGCCTAAGGTGAAAGTCACCTGTGGCTTGGCTTTGCATCTCCACCTTTTCCGCCCTGAGCCTGTGCTTTTGCCCCAGGCTGGCCCAGGCAGAGTGCATGGAGCTGGAGGCCAGCCACGAGGAGTCATGGGCCTCAGAAGTCTTTGCATGGGTGTCCTGACCTGGCTTCCCTGGCCCCATCCTCTGCTCCACTCGAGGGATCCGCCAGCATTTGCCCCTTGAACTTCTCCACTGCTTTGGTCTCTTGGACCTGGTAGCAGGCCACTAAATTCCGAGTTTGGTCTTTTGGGTACCTCAAGCTCTCCCTGATCCTGTGGCCCTTCCCCATCCCTGGTCACTTGGCTGAGTCACAGCTAGGACCATGTGCCTCAGACTCTAGAAGCCTATAGAAGCATCCTCATCCTTGCATCCCCAGCACTGCATCTGGCACACGGTTGCGACTTAATAGACATTGATGACCTTGAACTGAATCAGACAGGGTCAAACATCCCAACGGTGTCTTTCAGTGCTCGGCCACCTGTGGCAAAGGGACACAGAAACGAACTGTGACATGCACCAATTCGCAAGGAAAATGCGATGCATCCACGAGGCCCAAAGCAGAGGAGGCGTGTGAGGACTACTCAGGCTGCTATGAGTGGAAGACTGGAGACTGGTCCAAGGTGAGTGGCGGGTCTGCATCTCTACCCTGCCCAGCAGCGCAGGGCACTCTGCAAGCCAGAGCTTGGAAGTCACCCTGGGCCTCCATGGCGTGAGGCAGTCCCAGGCCACCTGGGCAAGTTCACTTTCTCTCCAGGCTCTGCACCTGCCTGTGCCCTTGTGCTGTGTGCAGTCGGAAGGAAACCAAAGGCCCCCCAGAGCACGAAGCAGGGTGCTCCCAATGCCAGTTGGCTTTCCTGTGCTGCGTGCTGGCTGTGCCCCAGCATCCCGCGGGGGGCTTGGCCACCAGCCATCACAAAAGCCTCGTAAACATGGGGGAGCCTTGGCTGAGGCGGCTGCGGAGGGGCCTCAGAGGCAAACAGCGCTTCCCTTCACTTTCAGGACCCCTGGGTGAAGGCCCACAGGATGCGGGGATGGGGGTTCTGGGAGGGTGGGGTGTGGCAGATAGGAAGGGCCATCTTCCAGAGCCTGGCCTGCAGCCCGGGGGTGGGGGAAGAGATGGTGAAACGGCACTGCAACGTAAATCAGACACAAAAACTGCTTTGCTCTTCAGCTCTTTTATTCATTCCCCTGGTTTCTGTGAACCTGTTACCTATGATGCCTGTTTCCCGGGCCAGGGGGTGGGTGCTGAGGTAAGTCCTGCTGTGACACATGACCACCGGCCAGGAGGCCTGCTAGAGAACTCTTTCCCACGAACTGTAAAATTTCTGGTAACCTCTGATTGGCTGAGGGAAATTTCTAATGGCAGCTTCGAGGATGTTCATGTTTCTATTTTGGTCTTTGCAACTGAAGACTCCCCATTTATTTCTCTTGATGTCTCTTCTCCCTGTGTTTGCAAACGGGTGGCCCAATTACCCCCAGTTTTTGTGTGGCCTGCACGATATCATAAACATTCTGGAATTCATTACCAACATTTAAAAACATGGTGATTTCACCCGAAAATCTGGGTTTGTGGCTCCTATCTAGATAGCTGGCAACGTGGCAGTGTGGCCTGTGTCCTCACTTGGCCACCATGACCTGGCACCGTTCCCCAGGCAGGGGCACTCCAGCCCCCCACACTCCTCCAGCCACTCTATGTTTTGATTTAGCTGCCTGGTCCAGACAGTAATTTGCTTTGTGCCTCTGCTTTATGGAAGGAGAGATGGTTTGGTCATTGGAAAGCAAAACTTATCCAGATCAGGCCCTTGCAGAAATCCCACCTTCCTGCAAGTGAGCATACGATCTCCTCCAAGCTCCTGGAGGACATAAAAGCCAGATAGCTCAGGTTTCAGTTTTCCAGCTGTGCTAAAATGCAGCCTCTGGATAACTGCAAATTTGGGGAAGACCAAAAACACCTCCTTTTTATTTACTCCCAGACCAGTAGATCTGACCAAAGCAATAGAACCAGGGCCGACAGTCCAGTTTCTCCGTGGATGTAATAACATTTAGGATGGAGTTGCCAGGATGTGTCTTCCATTGGAGGAAGGCTTCACTTGAACTTCACTTGAAGGGTCTTGCAAAAATGTCATTAGAAGCTGGAGTCCTGTGACTCGAGGCATCAAGGGGCTTAGTTAACAGCTCTGACGCACCGTTTAACAAATCTTAACCTCTCTGGCCCTCATTCTCTTTATCTCTGAAACAGAGAATCTTTAACACTGGCCCTGCCTGTTTCTCAGAGATGTTCAGAGCTTTCAAGGCATTATAGTAAGTGTGACTAGCTCTTGGACATCTCAGTCCATTTTCCTGCCCCAAACCCAGCACCCAGTGTTTACGCTGTGGTGAGGCACAGTCCCCAGGACTAATCTGTTCTGACCTCATCTAACTTTGTCTTATCCATCGGAGGGCCCAGCCTTTTATACAACCGTGCCAAGAAATGTCTCCTAGCCAAGGGCGTCAGACCCAGCTTAAGAAAGGTCACCAGTGTATCCCAAAGGCCCAGCCAAATGGAAGCGAGCTCTCAACAGTTTGGGTTCTAGTCTATAAGAAAACACTTGGGAGTTTTCTGTGTCAGAATTGTCAGAAGACATGGAAGGGGAGCTCTCCAACATAGTAAGAGGCAAAAGACCATTGTCTAGACTCCAAGTGTCCAGGTGTGGATTGGAACAAAGCTATCATTCTACCCGAGGAATCAGAAGGGTCCTGTGGTCACACCCCACATGTCACCTGTGCTAGTGAAGGGGGACTTCCATGGTCACAGATGTCCCTGGGCAGGAAGCAGAGGGGAGGAGGGGTCAGGGAGGGCCTGGGCCATGTGCAGCCACCAGAGTATGAGGCACCTTGTGTCGTTTTCTGTTTGAGGTCTACCCCTGCGCCTGTGCCCTCCAGCCAGGTCCTTAGCCCTGTTTTCTAGAAGAGGCAGTAGATGCTCAGAGATGAAGGGACTGGCCTACACCCCTCTGTCAGAGTCCAAGCTCCTGAACCACTGGTCAGAGCTCAGTCCACATGGAGAAGGGCTCTAGAGGCCCCATGATGGTACTTTTGAGCCACAGCACGTCCTACAGACAGTCATCAGCTCTCCAGAGCCTGGCCTTCCCGAGCCTCACCATTCTGGTTTTGAAGGCCAGATGGACACTTCAGTTTTCTTAACACCATGAACTTCCTGGTGCGGGGAGGTACAGAACCCCAGGACATGAACGGAAGTCATACCTGAGAGGCCCGACACCATGCTACCCCCGATCTGCTAACTCCCACTCGACCTCCTCCATTGTTCAAGCGCCCTTCCCTGGCTGTGGAGGCTGGCTTGCCATCCAGCAAACTCCCTCCCCCACCAGCTTCACCGGTGAGGTCAAGCCCTCAGCTGGCCTGCCTCTTGACTAGCCAGGCCATGGTGAATAATGCCTCCCAGCTTTCAAAGGGGAAGGAAGGCACTGGAAGGCCACAGAGCCTGCTCTTCAGCCAGCTTGATCAGTGACCCCTGGCCATAGGAACAGGACCGCGTGATGGCCTGCGATGATCCCAGCTGCATTCAGGGCTGGTATCTGATGGCACTGGCTTGGTGCGCACAGAGCCAAGGGGGAGAGTACTCAGCATGGAAGGGGGGTGCGCGCTCCATGCTTCCAGCCGCCCCTCCCCAGCAGGTCTGGCCAGAGCTAGGGCCCAGGGAAGACTTGACTTCCCAAAGCGAGAACTTGGTCACGGACCCAGAACTGGAAGTCCGTATAGGCACGAACGTACTGGGAGCAAGCATGATGGGGCAGGGGCCACACAGAACTGAACCGGGGGACCACACCCTGACCGTTGGCCTCGCCACCGCTCCCTCCTCCACTGCCATCACCAGGTGGGCTGGCCTCCCCAGGTGCAGAGATCTGTACAGCAGTTCTAAAAATCTGCCCGTTGCTTTTCCCCATTTCTTCTCTGGAGAATGGAAAGGACGCAGTTCCCCGTGGGGGTCCTGGTCCTCACTTGCTGGGCAACTGTCCAACATAAGTGGATTCCACTGGATGAATGTTACCCTGATATTCACACTTGTTTGGACTAGATTTGCTTTTCTGTTGACCTCTTAGCTTGGCTTCACGTCTGTGGACAGTGCCCTCATCACACACATGGGGTTGGTACACTTTTAAATCCTCTCCTATAACCAGCCCCCAGACCGCCACGTGCCAGACTTCGAAGGCTTCAAACAAGCTGCCCAAAAGGAAAGTCAATAGAACTCCGAGGGCTGTCAGAGCCTTGGTGTATCTGGAAGCTTTGACATTTTGCCTCTAAGAAATCTCCTGTTACTTGGCCCCAAGGTGCTGTTGAGAAAGATTAACGTGTCTCTAGTGAGGTGATGGACAGGCTAGTCTGAGGACATGCCTCAGGTGCTGTCCTGCCCCCACCGAAGCAAGAAGGACCAGTCATCCCTTGGGAAGGGGCTGGCACCAGTCTTCTCCTGTAGCTGGGTTAGGGTGCCTGAGAACAGCACCCAGAACTGTGGGGAGGCAGGGCCCTTCCCCCAGCCTCAGCACATGGCTGAACCCCAACCCGGGTCCCCCGCATGGGACAATCCTCACATTCCCATTCCTGCTGAGGGCATTATTACTCTCTGCCATGTTTGAAAAATGACCTGTCCTCCTGGGATACCAGCTATTTCCAGATCTGTGCAAATCGTTGTTTCCATCCGCTAAATGCTGGGTATTCGACCTGGGGGCAGGGAGATGTCACTTAAAATGGGAGAGGAGGAAATCACATTTCTTTCTAGAATAGTGAGACTTTTGATCACAAGTTGAGATGTTTCAGTTTCAAGACCAGAGGCATTAATCACCACTGAGGTGATGGGATGTTTCTGATTAGAAACAAATTATTCTGGAGGGATTGTAATGGATGGTGTTTTTAAAGAAAACCATTGGCTCTCTGCGTTAAGAGTATGGCATTCCCTTTCACTGAAGAGATCAAAGGACCGTTGACTTCCTGGTGCCATGGGAGGTTCTGTGGAAGGGGGCTGGTCTGACTCTAAAGCCTCAGTCAGGCCCCAGGTGTGCCCCCTCACACCCGAGGCCCAGACTGTGATATGGAAATCACAACACCTCCTAGAGGCCTTGGGAGGTCAGGGGAAGGAGTGAGCACACAAGAGCCTCTGGGCTGCAGCACCCCAGGGAAGAAGTCAGGGAGAGCCTCTCGCTCCTACCTTGCTATACCGTGCTGTCCCAGACAGCTGGTAGATGCCTTCCTGTGCTCTGGGCAGGGAGACAGGGCTTTCAGCTCCAGGGCCTTAGCAAGAACGAGAGTGGTTTGCTATAGAAAGTGTTTCAGCCTACACCACTTCCAAAGTCTGCACCTCCTTTCTTGGATGGGGCCTGACCCCACATCCCACTCTGCAAGGCTGGCCTGCCTGCCAAGCTGGGGGTCTGCAGCCAAGTCTCTGTGATTCAAGCAGCATTTCCTGAGCTCCTTTTCTCAGGAGAGAGTGTTCCAGACCTGTCCTGGTCAGGGTGGGTATGAGAGTGGACAATGACCCAGCCTAGGTACGGACCAACAAGGAGCCAATGACATTAGGCCACACTCAGTCGCCTGGTCCAGTGTGCACACTGTGCTGTGGGACCCA